ATTTTCCTAGGTCGCTATATGTTTTTCCTAGGTAGTACAAAGAAATTGCTAATTCTGATTGGTCAAATCATATGATGCTTACATGTAAATCATATGATCTACAATCTATTTTATATGAAATTGGAAATTTGTACACCCTACCCTTAAATATACATGAGCAATACTATCGCTATTACTGTATTATTAGTATAGACATTATTTCACGCGGTTTCTCCAAATAATAGCAGCCAATGGTTAAATCGGGGTTTGATCTTAATCGATATTTCGATACTCTTAAATTTTTTGCCTTAAATAATGAAGACCGGTTAAGTTATAAGATACATATGTTAAATTTAAAGGTTTATAGTTATAGATCAGAAGCGAATCTCTTAATTGAATTATAAAAATTTGGTGAATTCTCAAATACAGTACATGTACTGATATGTATAATATGAATTCCAAGTAATAGTATGTACGTATGTACCCGATTTTGTTATTTTCGTTTAAACAAGCAAATTTCTGGTTTTAAGACGTATTTCTAAAACTTGTAAACTTATAATAAACTATATATATATTTTATATAGAATTGAAGGTCTTGAAATAGATTAACTAGAAGTAATTTGTATTAAAATAAACAAGTCCAACCAAATCCAACCAAAGTTTTTTTTATCGATACGAAAAAATCCTTGTTAAAACAATTGAGTAATCTTTCCAAAAAAAGGTTGAAATAATTTATTATACATAAGCTATATTTTAAAAAATAAGTAGGTATATAATTCTTAATTATTCGTAATATTAACTCTTTCTTTAATATAGGACAAAATAATGGATGGCTTCTTCTATCTGGACGTGACAATCTTATACTTCCAACTTCTACATCTTCATAAGGTGGCACGTTAAAGTCAATATCAACCATATCATGTTCATTTCCACAATTAACAAATCTTAAATCATCACAATCTTGGGAATTCCCACATTTTCATCGTATCCTCTACATATAATATTCACAATTGTTATTGTGATAACCGTTTGCACAATTACAATATTCATGGTTGAATTTTTCAAAGTGGTCAATGGTGGTAGAATATGGATCAAAGAAATGAGGTTTGTGGCATGACCAGTAAACGATTGTAGATGTGATTATCGGTACAAATAAGGTGGAAAGAAGTAAATAACATAAAAAATTATAAATTTTGTGCATTGTTATGACCTAAATAGGTAAGTAATGAAATCGCAAGTATATACGATATTAAAATTTTTCAGAGACGAGATAATGATTGAATGTTTTTATGTTCTAATGAATCAATTAAAAGAGATCCAATTCCTTTCACACATATTAAATACATTTTTTTTCTTGAATCATTGTTCGCCTAAGAATAATTTATTCATCCCATATGTATTTATCTCATCTATCAATATACATGCATCAAGTATATATGCATCAATTTAGTACGTTATGCATTATGAGTTGATTAATTCGGTAATTATTTTTCAAATTCTTATCGATACATTTCAATGTCTGCTTTTTTTCCCATGTTAACCTAGTTGCTATACAGCATTTGATGCATGTGTGAGAATAATGCAATCCCAAATCAAGGCTATTTATTTTGGTGGCTTGTTAATATATCAGCGTGATTTAGGCTTATAGAATGTATCAAAGTCTAATATATTTAATTTTATAATATGGATTAGCGTAATGCCAGTAAATATTAACATGAGTCATTTCTATCGCTATAGTTTAATAATTTCGAAGTATTGTTTGTTTTTTTTTAGCATAAAAAAATTGCCAGTTATTGGGACAAGCTCATTTCCTTTTATAGCAGTTCAATTTTTATTTAAGAATGGCTTAGAATGAATATTTTGTTTCGGGAACTCTCTTACGTGTAAACTTATACGCAGTATTACCCAGTATTACCCAGTATTGCCCAGTATTACCCAGTATACCCACGTGGACAATTAAAAACTCCAAGCCATTTCGAAGCGATATCTCCCAGATCAGCAAAGTTATTTTGTCTTTTTTCAAAAAAATCTCTGATATCAAAGATGCTGTAAGTTTACAAATTCGTATATTTTATACGCAGATCTGATTTAAATTTCATAAAAAGACAAAATAAAAAATTAATAATTTTTAATGAATAAATCCTTAAAAATATATAAATATATAAATATATAAATATATAAAAAATATATTTATATTTATTTATTTATTTAAAACTTATTTCACACAACTTATACAAAGCTACTTTTTTTCCTCGGTTCCTCTCTTCTTGCGTATCAATTGATTTGAAAATGTCTGCAAGTATATTAAAAAAACTATGGAATAAGCTATCCACTGACTATCTGTGTTTACTAAACCAACAAGAATATTGTGATGTAACTATTAAAGTTGGATCAAAATCAAATTTTCGCGTTTTTAAAGCTCATTCATTAATATTGAGAAGTAGATCTCAATATTTTAAAAATGCTTTGTCTTCTTGTTGGAATAAAAAAGATGATGATGGTTTTTTTCAAGTTGACTTATGTGAAATGAATATATCTGAAGGTGTATTTGACAAAGTTCTTAAGTATGATGTCATCCTTTTATTTCTTTTATTTCTTTCTTTTATTTCCTGTCAAAATTTTATTATTCAATAATTTACTCAATAATTTACTCAATTTATAGATATATTTATGGTGGTTTCTTACCCCTGGATGAAATTAGACCATGCGAAAAAATACGCCTAATGACTACTGCTGACATGTTGTTGATGGATGATTTCATTGACTACCTTGAACACAACATAATTCAATCTGAAAAACATTACATCGCAAAAGAAGCAAATAAGTTATTACTTGTGTCAACTCGAATACCCCGCTGCAAAAAATTATTAAATGTTTGCCAACAATTAATACTGCGTAATCCGATAGCGTTTATTCATTCCGTGGAATTTTTATCTATACCTCCTGAGTACATTCGGGAATTACTTGAGCTTGATACTTTAGGTCTTGATGAGGAATCTATTTTTGATGCTATTATTAAATGGGGTGTTCATAATACTTGTGATTTAGATATGGTGGATGTAATTGATCATATAAAGAATTGGTCGATCGATCAATTTGATGTTTTACGATCAATAATCAAGGATTTTATTCCGTTGATTAGATTTTTCAAAATGGATCCATGTTTTTTTAATGAAAAATTCGGTCCTTACAAACCATTACTTGATTATGATTTATGTAATCAAGTAATTCAATATCACAAAGATCCAAATGGTTTACCTTTACACAAATTTTATCCACTTAGATTAAATTCTACTTTAATTTCGGAATTTCACATATCCACGATTTCTTCTTGGATCGAATTACCCGAGGAGCAACGTGAGCAATATTCTCCTCCACTTATCATAGAGAAGACTCAAGATTATAGCCTTAATTCTTTACCTTTTGAATTTGATTTAATATTTCGAAGTCAAGGTAAAAGAATTTCTGATAGTTTATGGTGTCAAAAGGTTCATAATCAAGGTCCTACTTTGACGATTATTAAAACCGCTAACCAAGGATTATTCGGTGGGTATAAATCGACTAGCTGGAAAGAGAAAAAAATAACAAAAGGAAAACATAATAAAATAAAAAAAATTGAATGTGTGGATGGTGGTGATGGTTTTGTTTTTCAATGGTCCGATGATGATTCCTTTGATAATGATAAAATTGTTTGTTCAAAATTACAATGGATAGACAAACATCTTGATTTCGATATGTTTCTAGGTGGTTCTAAAATGAGTTTAGATTTTAGATTTGGAAAAGGTTTGAGCGTTTTTAATCGCGAATTTCGTCATGATAAATGTGAAAAAGGTTTGATGTACACTATTGAGGAGGTTGAAATTTTTAGAGTTTTAAGGAAGAATTCTTAAAATGCGGTGCAACAGAATTCTTACTGTAAATATGAAAAATTAAAAAATTGGTGGAGCTTAAATTAGGTTTTCAAAAAAAAAAAGTAAAATAAAAAATGTATTTCTTTGCTTTGTAAAAAATTAATGTTTATTTTTCTGAATATATATATTCGAACAAAAATAAAAGCGATACAAGTATCGAAATGTTATACATTAATATGTATATATAACATATATATATCTAGGCATATAGTTGTTTATATAAATAACAACGTTCTTATCTCAGTGATAGCATCTTTTTACATAATGAAGTAATTTACAAAAATCAAAATGGATTTATAAAAATTTTCAATCTCAAATTAGCGGAAATAGCAATAAAACCTTTACTGAAGTTACTCCCGCTAATCTGAGGTTGTAAAGGAGGATAGAGGGTGCGGTGCTTATTTTTCGAGTTTTATGGTATGTATATTGTAGGTGGATTCGGAATCTTGTGGATTCTACTACATCACGAAGTTGTTTTTATATAGAATTTTTTTATGTAGAATTATGTAGCTTTACAAAAACTTTATAAACCCAATGTAGATTTACATATCTATTTTTATATAAATTTACATATATTTCTATATAAAACTATGTAAAATAGCAAAAAAATTTTAACTTAAATATTAAAGCTAGGATTAGATTTTAAAGTTTAATTAGGGGTTTGGGGAAGGTTTTCGAGCATGCTGAACATTTTTACTTTGTGCATCGATCGGTGATTACCTTAGTCACTTTTGAGAAATAGCTGGAGTAGTCTACATTGGGTTTGTAGACCTATATAAAAATTTTATATAATATTTATGTAACTTTATAGAGCTATATAAAAATTTATAAAAAATCAACTTGCTGATGTAAATGGATTCAGAATCAACTTAAGTGAATTTCGAATCTCAAAACAACTAAATGGAAATAGAATTTTATTGTCCTATTTTTAAACTTAATATTATGGGAATGACAACCGTTTCCACCGTCTACATCTACAAGAATTTTTTTTTCATTCATCTTACAATCATATTTTGTGCCAGAAACAGACTACATTCTTGCGGTTTTCGCAGTGATGACAATTTGACAAAATTATTGAGTTGAATGTCATAAAAATATGTCATTTTTGTCATAAAATAATTTTACTCACCTTATAGTATTCCATTTTATATCACAAGTGATATGTTCCATTTGACAATTTCTTGATTATTTTGCAAGATAAAGTAGACCAGTCAATTTTCAAATTGCAACACATACGTAGTCATTAAAGAGCAGTTCCCAACTTTCATAGTTGAAAGAATTTTAATCCAAATATCGACCTTTTGAAGTTCCCAAATTTGTATTAGTAGGCTCATGTAGCATTGCAATAATAAGTTCGTAATAGAATGCGAAATAAAGTTCTACGTCTAGCAAGTTATTTTTTTCAAAAACTTAACTAAGAATATTCTTGGGTTGACATTTTTAACTTGAATTACATATGATTTATGGCTGATATTTTTAAGATCCGTAGTTGTTTCTGGATTCGAAATCCACTCAAGTTTATTCCGAATACGCAAAATTTCAAATTCACCTACATCATATGAGTGCCGCCAAGGGAAAAACCTGACTTCGGACTTTCAATTATATTTTGTGTACAGTTAACCGTATGATAGCTGATAGATTTTTTAGACGGCTAACTGTACACAAAATATAATTGAAAGTCCGAAGTCAGGTTTTCCCTTAGCGGCACCCATATATATTCGTTCTATTAATACATAGCATATCCTTTATTTTCTATTTTTGTTTTTTACTTTAAACCAAGTATTCTAAGCAGTATATATCAACTTATCGATATTCTTAATACTAAATAAATTATTATCAAACTCGTTATATCACGAAAAATCTCTAACGTTATCTTACCCTATTTCTTAAACGCTATATAACTGAATTTAAAATATACCGATGTGCATGTATTTATTTAAATTTACAATTTGCAATATAACGATAAATAAAATAGTTATTACTGTAGTGATCTAAGTAGATAGCACATTAGTCGACTCAGTCAACTTAGTCAATTTAGCCGGCTAAGTCAGTCGATTTTTTCAAAAACCGGCTTAATCGACTTCTAATAATCTAAAATATATTTGTAAACCAAATATATAGCTAATTTTTGAAAATTTTATTTATTATAATATACATAAGTAAACTAAAAAAGATTAATTTATAGTACAGTTTTATAATATAAAATAATTAGATAAAAATCTTTATCTACTTTATATATATAAGATGTCTCAACAATATACAGTATTAAGAAAAAAAAAGCTTTAGATAGTAAAATTTATATGTTTAATACTGTATTTAAAAAACAAAGCATAAAAAATATCAAAGTATTATTAATAAAGACCTTTTCAATAAAAAATTAGATTACTGCATAACATGGTTATGCTAAAACACACTAATGCTAAGATACAATCTTTTTAGCAGTATATGCAGTGAAAATTATCTAATATGATCACTATAATAATGTTGTCTACTTTGCAAGTATAACTATATTCCTGTTTTTTATTTTTGTATGATTATTATGTAGTCAACTAAGCTAACTAAGCTATTTTTTTTTTTTTTTTTTTTTTTTTTTTTGCAAATGTCATAGTTGAAACTTTATTTAATAAAATAGAATAAAATT